ATCATCATTATTATCATTATTATCATCATCATCATCATCATTATTATCATCATTATTATCATTATTATCATCATCATCATCATCATTATTATCATCATCATCATCATCATTATTATCATTATTATCATCATCATCATCATCATCATCATCATCATCATTATTATTATTATTATTATTTATCATCATTATTATTATTATCATTATTATTATTTATCCTTATTATTATTATCAGAACATGAATGATTGTACTTGTTTGGTTTATTGCAGTAATGATATTAAGTCACTGATATGATAATGATAAAGTTACAGTATATTGTGCAGCCCTGGTTCTAACTGTAAACAGTTTTATTTGTTCATCTGAAAGAGATCCTTCTCTCTTTCCCTCAAACAGACTCAAGTGTTTGCTTTGGTGTGAAGTCTTTAAATGCTATAAGTGAAGCTTTGTTTTTTCCATAGATGGCCTGAAATATGTGGAAGAGATCAAACTGAAGAAGTGTGTTTACATTGAGGACGCCTGTATGGAGAGGCTGAGCTCAGTGGAGTCTCTGCAGCAGAGCCTCTACATGATGGAGGTGGTGTCATGTGGAAACGTGACGGATAAAGGGATCATTTCTCTGCACAGACTCAGGTCAGACTGAAGACATCAGTTTCTTTGAAATTTGTTTTTAAATTGTGATATTTTCTTAATGAACGTTGTTTCCCCTTTAGAAACCTGGAGTATCTGTTCCTCAGCGATCTCCCCGGAGTCAAAGACAAGCAGCTGACTGTTGACAGACTGCAGAGAGCACTTCCACGACTGGACATAGACCTGGACCTGGACTGACAGTTCACTGAAGCTTCCTGCTCCAAACAAATCCCTGACATGAACTCATTTTCTGAGTACAAGACCCGAACTGATGGGAGGACATCCTGAAGAAGCAGATTGTATTTATAGCTGAATTTGATCACTTTTTGTTTGCTTTAAATAAAGAGTGGTGCAAACATCTCCTCATTTTGTTCTCTAGCCCTACAGAACCAGTCCATCAGAACCAGTCCACCCCTCTAATCTTTGACAGTTTGTCTTTTACGTCCGATTATTCTAGATCATTCTGATAATATCTTTCAGGCGTTTGAAAGAWACAGCTCTTTTTTTCTGTTAATCAAATCCTTCTCCATGTAAATGTCCATTTTGTTGGGATTAAGTGGATTGGATAGGATGTTATATGAGCAGAGGTGTTAAACTGAAGTCATTACACTGCAAAAACTGTCCACCTGACCAAGTTTTCAAATCTTATATCAGCCAAAAAAGTCTTTTTGAT